AGTCATTGTGTTAAGTCATTTACATGGTTTTCTAGTGTAGGTACTAAGAGCTATAAAATTTCCTCTGAGGACTGCTTTTAAAGTGTCACAGAGGTTTCGTTGTGTTGTATTCTCATTTTCATTTAGTTCAGGAATACTTTAATTTCTTTATTTCTTTTGTGACCCACTCATCATTAAGAAGTGGGTTGTTTAATCTTTCTATCTGATGTTCCTGCCAATCTCTCTAGTAAATGCATTGATTTCTGACATCTTTGTTGTTTGACTATAAATGTTTGTAACCTCTTCTACAGTCATGTCATTCGAGGTAACTTGAATCTATGTTCCCAGGTCACGGTCATTCATATTTGGCTCAGAATAAAGTCTTGTTCCTATTGGAGGAAGAGCTGTGCTTTATATCAGCAGTGGCTTTCAGGGTGTGAAGCCAACATGTTCCTGCTGTGGATTGAGCAAGGAAAAGTATCATGTGTCTGTGTAGTTATTAGAGTTTCTTTTGTTATTGATTACGAGCTTTATTTCATTGTGGCCTGATAGAAAGCATGGAATTATTTCTTTCTTTTTTTTTTTTTTTGTATTTGTTCAGATTTATTTTGTGTCCCAGAATGTGGTTAATTTAAGAAAAACTTGCATGGACTGCTGAGTAGAAGCTGCATTCTTTGGTGGTTGGGTGGAATACTCAGAATATTCAGTAGGTCTGTTAGATCCATTTCATGTAAGATATAATTTAATTCAAATGTCTCTCCATATATTCTTTGTCCAGTTGACCTATCTATTGAAGATAGTGGGTATTGAAGTCACCTAATATTACTGAGTTGGGGATAGTCTGTATTTTATAGTCCTGGAATACTGATTTTTATGAAATTGTATGCACCAGAGTTCAGTGCATATATGCTCATGATTGTAATATCTTCTGGTTCAATTGTTCCTTTGATTAAAATTAAGTGACCCTCTTTTCTCTTCTGATGAGTTTTACTTTGAAGTCTATTTTGTCAAATATTATAATTCTCACACCTGCTGCTACTTAGAGCCATTTGCTTGGAATATTTTTTTCCATGACCTCTCATAAATAAGAAGAGATAAGGTTTTTGAAGACAACAAAAATATGAGTTTTCTTTCTTGATTCATTCTACTAGACTGTGTCTTTTGACAGGAGCATTGAGACCATTGATGTTTAGTGTTATTACTGAAAAATGTGCATTGGCTACTATCATTTTAACTTCTCTGTGTTTGTGACTCTATTTTGTGTTTCCATTTTTATACCTTTCTTTGTTTCCTTTTTGTAACCTCTTAGGTATACTCATTCTTGTCTTCAGTTCTTTGTTTTACTTTGAATATTCTCTTTAGTGGTGGTTTGGTGGACGTGAGTTCTTTCACCCTATTGGTGAAATGGAAAATTTTCTGTTCCCCTTCAACAATGATAGACAGTTTTGCTGGATAAAGTATTTGGGGTTGGCATCCATGGTTCTTTAGAACTGAGACTACTTTGGTCCAGGCTCTTCTGGTTTTCATAGTTTGCATTGAAAAAGCAGTTGTAGGTCTGATGGGTTTTCCTTTATACATAATTTGTTGTTTTTCTCGAGGAACTTTCAGTACCCTTTCTTTATTCTGGACATTTAATGTTTTTTCCATGATATGACATGGAGAGTTTCTGTTCATGTCATTTATAATTTGTGCTCTATGTGCTTAAATCTGTAAAGGTAATTCCTTAATTTAGGGAAGTTTTTTTCTATAAGAAAACTCCTTCTTTTATTTCTTTTTTTCTTCCTGTTGAAGATCTGGTCAAAGCTATTGGTCTGAGATTCCTCTTCCTGTATGCCTATGATGCATAGATTTGGTCTTTTCATGTTGTCCCACATTTCCTGCATATTCCATACCTGTGTTGTTGTTGTTGTTGTTGTTATTGTTGCTGTTGTTTTAATTTTACATAGTCTTTGCTTAAGGAGTTCAGATCTTTAACTTTGTCATTCACTCTTGATATTCTGTTTTTCTGGTTTATGTTTCTTTTATTCTACTTATGAAGCTTTCTCCTGTTGTCTCCTATTTATTTATTGAGTTTTTCAATTCCATGATCATTTCGTTTTGGGTTTTCTTCAATATTTCTATTTCTTTTGTAAATTCACTTTTCAGGCCCTGAATTATTTTTGATATTTCATTAAGCCACATATTTGTATATTCTTGAGCTTCCATCACAGGTTTATGTGCATCCTCTTAGAGTTCTTTCAGTTGTTTGTATATATTTTCTTTAAGTTCTTTGGTGGTGTTTATGACTGTTCTTTAAAATTCTGTGCCCTGGAGTTCTTCAGGGTGATTCTCATTGTCGCACACTTCTGAGGGACTAGTGGTGGTCTTCCTGGGGACATATTCTCTTGGTTTTTCATATTATTTATGTTTTCATGATGCCATTTGGGCATATGGATGGTCTTTGCTTGTTGTGTGTCCAGTAGGATCTTCTTTTCTCCAATTTTTTATTGAATTTTGGTTCTGTTTATATTGTTTATATAGCTCAGTTGGTTTTCAAGAGTCTTAGGTGGGTCAGTCTTTCCGGCCAATCAGGAGCCAAGGGAAGATGGGGGTAGGGACCACCTGAGGAGGGATTTAGCAATCTATCCTAGGGGTGTTAGCTGGTCTGGGTTAGGAAGCTAATCCAATGATCTGAGGCAGAGGAATTTGAGCATGCCTGGGTCAAAAGTTGTCAAGGGATAGAGTGGGGGTGGGGTAGTGTGTTTTGGCTGTGGAGGAATGAAATAGAGGTGTGGTAGCCAGGATCTAACTTGCCAGAGTCTTAGGTGGGCTGGTCTGTCAGGCATATCAGGAGCCAGGGGAAATGGTGGTGGGAACTACCTGAGGAGGGATTTAGCAATCTGTATTAGGTGATTTAACTAGTTTAAGTTAGAAAGCTAGTCCAGAGATCTGAAGCAGAGGAATTGGAGTGTTCCTGGGTCCAAGGCCAGCAGGGAGCAGGTTTGGGGTAGGCTAGATTGTAATTGTTGAGGCTGTAGAGGAAAGGAATAGAACCACATTGGATTTTTTGAAGCCAAAAATGGTGACTCATTTTGAGATTTAGAAGTGTCATGCTAGCAATCCTTGAACATTTGTAAAGATAACAAATACATCTTATGTCTAACTGTCCCAGAGATAAATGTTAGAAAAACTGTGTGAATAAAAGGTTAATCTTCAAAAAAGAGAAAAGTTCTAATCATGTTAAAAGGAAACACAATGCATGAGAATCAGATGATTCTTGTTGCATCTTAAGTGGTAAATAAGTCAAGGGACCAATGTAGACAAAATGTCATAGACAAAATTAAAGAACAATTGGGTATTTAGACTAAATTTTAGGTAAATTGTATACTCTACTTTCAGAATTCATAATTTTGTAGAGACTTTTTTCATCTTTTGTTAGCTGAATAATTTAGCTGACATAGATAATAATTTAATATAGTATATTTTAAAGTGTTCCTTAATACTCATGATATCTATATCTATTAAAAATTTTAAAATTACTATAATTTCTGTAATCAATTTTGTTTTATGTGGATATGAACTCATATTTTAACTATATCAAAAGTTTCCAAACATGTTACTGCTTAATGAGTAAATAAGAGATGCAATATATTTCAAGTTATAACTAATGGATTGTAAATTCGTCCAGATGTAAACCACAATATGATGTGTCATGGTAATACACAATTTTAGCTAACTAGAAACATTTCCAAGCAGTTTGAGCATTTCCATAATTATTTCTTCTTCTCACATGTCCTAAGCAACTAAAAGTAAGATTGCCTCAAAACGCATTTGGATGTGAGCATTTTAGAGAGTGGATTCTGGGACCACTGTTATGTGAAGCTGTTCTTTTTCACTGCACTGTACAAGTGAACACTAAGTAGTGAAAATAAGCATTCATGAAACAGTACAGCATATATAAAAATGAGTAATGTGTTACTAGTACAAATTCTTAAACACATTTATTTTAAGCTTACATTTCATAATCCAATTTGAATGAATGTGCATATATTACATACATAAGCCATTTGACCATGATTTCACCTTGACAAAACACTCATTTATTCTCAATATTTTTTCTCGCTGGTCTATAATATGTGTTTATAGGCAATTCTACTGTTATTTCTTTTCTTAATATCTTATTCTCACTCTGCATGTTACACACGAATGTGCTTGAATTTTATATGCAACATTGCCTATATTTTTCTGTTAGAAGGCACAGGAGAGAAAATATTGATTTCAAGCAAATACAGAACTTCAACATTTTATAAAATATGCATTGCAATCAAATTAGATTAATCCAATATTTCATTTGCTTCATCTCATAGTTTGCTATATGATTCCTGCTTCTTGTTTTAATATATGAGTAGCAAGCTAAGAATAAAATAAATTCTCCTAAAAAAGTGATCCAGATGATCTTACCTAACTATACTTCAGACACTTGGAATGACATAAATCATTGGCTGTAATAATGAATTCTAGACTAGACCACACTTTATACAGTGTCTTGTGTTATGTCAAAAGCTTTATATGGATTAGCATACTGCCTGCCCCTCTATGATGTGACTAGTTATCATTTCAAGAAATAGCAACTTTAAGCTCTTATAAAATCAGACAACTTCCTTTTTAAAGGTATGCAATATAGTCAATAGGATGTAACACTGGTGGGGTTTTTTTTTCCTGAAATGCTTAATTCTTCCCTAAAATATGTACATGAATATTTGTGTATCATATGAGTTAGCCCAACAGAATGTCTAAATGCAGTCGGTCTTGTGCTGATTTTCTGTAAGATTTTAATTTATTTAAATATATAGAAAATTGGAATTAAAGCAGAAGAGAGAGTTGAGGAATAATTTTCCTAAACAACAACTTATTACAGCAGATGTTCTGCTTTCTAGATTCAAGTCTAGTATCCTGTCCAATGTATAAAAGTGTATTTCCTAATGTCTTGTATTAAAGGTTTGTTGCCTTTAAACAAGTAAATCTCTTGGTTACTTTTGTAGGATTTTACATCTCTACACCAACTGGGCAAGGATGGAGAAGGGAAAGAGTGGGGCTTTTTAGCCTTCCTCTAGACTCCACATTGGAGCCAGTCTGCCTAAGTTTCTGGTATGTTTCTTATCAGTTCCTTAGTTTCTCCTGGGAAACATTTTTAAAATTTTATTCATTATATTTATTTTATGTGTATGCATGTATTACCTTCATGTAGTGAAGTGCATTCATGTCATTCAGTGCCCACAGAGGTAGAAGAGCCTGTCGGATCCCCTGAGACTGGAGGTACAGACCGTTTTTAGCTGCCATGTGGGTGCTGGGATTAGAACCCAGGTATTCTGCAAGAACAACCAGTGTTCTTAACCACTGATAAAATCTCTTGAGCCCCAATCTCCTGGGAAACTTTTAAACACATTTTTAAAAATGATTATTAATGCCTTTCAAAGGCCACCAGGCTCAATTTCACTAAGATGTTAGCTGTAATCTTAGTGCATGCGTTGTTTCTTTTTCAATTGATAGAAAAACAAAATATTGGTAGACCCACCACTTTCCCCCAGTAACCTCCAAAATTAAAAAAGATAATACAAATACAATAAAAGATTTAAAAGGAAATAAAATGAATTTACTTCAAGGTGTAAGAGACCAAACGTCTTTGCTTTTTCACAAATTAGGTATTACATGTATGGTGAAAATGTTTATAACTTAAGCATTCATGTCATCAGTGACAAAAATGTGGTGAAAACAATTTTCCAAAGGGAAGGAAATTATGGAGAAAGTTGGTATTATGGACAGTACACATTATATGAAGCAACAGAATTTAAGGTACGTAAAATACTTTGTAATCTGTAGTTGAATTTACTCTGTAACTTATAGTGAATTCTCTTTCTATTGATTCAAGTATCCTTTGCAGTGACATGGTAAAAAAAAATTGTGAGAAAACTTAGTCACTTTTTATATTTTAAAAATATACCTTATTTTTATCCTTTAAAACATTTAATTTTCAATTGATATAATGAATAACATTTATTGAAAAATAATTTGCTAGATGAACATACAGTTTATAAAGGCCCATGAAGCCCACACAAAGTATGAAGTCTCTTTGTAGGAGACTTTTTCTTCCTTTGGCAATCCTGTCTTCCTTACTTGGTACAACCAGGGCCATCTAACTTTTCAAAAATTCCACCTAGTCAGCTCTACACTTTGAAGATAATGACCTTTTCATAGTAGGGTATCCGTGCCCATCAATATCCACCCAACTGGCCACACACTGGCAATCTCCATAGACTTCCTATGGAAAAAAAATTCTAGGAGCCATACCCTGGGAAAGTTTCTAATAATCTATTCTACATTAAGGTAAATTAATTTTTTCAGGTAACAGTTTAGTGTGTTCAATTCTTGAGGGCTGTTGCAAATAAAATATAAAACGCTATAAGCCTAATTGTTGGGCCAAATTAACAATATTCCAATTGAGTAATTTCAAATAAGATAGTGCACTTTCAGATGTATATTTGAACAGACCATGTCATCATCAAGGGCTTAAGTTCTCCCTTAAGACATGACATAGGCAGCAATAACCAGTGGCTGTCTTCAGTATTCCCTTTTTCCCTCCTTCTTTTGCCTACTTTATTTTATTTTAATTCTTTTTTAATGTATATTTTTATTGAATTTTTGTGCATTTCATACAAAAAATCTTAATCATCTTTATACATCGTTACCTATCCAGGCCCCTAATAACCCACCCCATCAGATCTCATGCACTGTCATTTGTGTTAAGGCCTAATGACTCAAGTTAATGTACCCAGACATCCCTCAGTACAAGCTCATCTATTGGGGTCTAGGTAGTCTATCTAGGGTCACTCCTTTAAAGAAGATCAGCTCTTCCTCACCCAGGGGTAATCAGTTGCCAAGAGTTCTTTTGCTAAAGTTGGGACCTGCTGCCCATTTCTCCAGTTCTATACTGGGAGTTTGTCTTCTTGAATTTGCAAGAGTCTTGTGCCTACTGACACAATTGCTGTGGATTTATATGAGCAAGGTCTAAGGAGCCTATAAGAATCTGTTTCCATATAATCATGCATCTCCTCCCCTGGCTCTTACAATCTTTCCACCCCCTCTTCCTCAGTGGTCCCTGAGCCATGGGTAGGTGAAGCATAATATAGGAATCCTGTCCAGGGATGCATATTCTATAGATTCTTATTCCCTATGCTTTGGACATTGTGGCCTATTGTGTTCATTGCCCTCTGTTCCATGAGGGGAATCTTTGTTGATAACAGCTGAGAGATGGATTGGATTAGTATTCATTCTACCCCTTGTTCCACTATGTTCCCTGAGCCTTAAGTATAAAATTTCCACTGTAGATGTGTCACTTAGGGTTGGGTATCTCACAGACACTTATTCTCTGTATGTGACCACGTGTAGAACTCTGTAATAGTTCTCCACCTTTTGCAAAAGAATCTTCTTTGATGCATGGTGACTGGCTTACTTGTCTGTAAATATAACCATTCATACTTAGCAGGTAGTAAGAAATTACATTTGTGATAAACTTCTACCAACAATGACCTCTCCAGCCATGTATATTTGGTTATCTTTACAGTATCAAACATGAGTTCCCTCCCATTGAGCAAGCTTTAAGTCCAGTTACATAGCTGTTGATTACCATTAAGACAAAAGTGCCACTATTGCAATCAATATAGTTTGCTCTGCCAGTCGTTGTGGTTATTAGGTTTTGAAGCTGGGGTTGGACCATTTATTGCTGTTCTTGCTTACCAGTTTGCATTGTGTCTTCCAAAATTATGAAAGGTAGCCTTCCAGAAGGTAAGTTCCAGGTCAGTTCCAGCTCCATTGATCTAAGTCCTGTGCCCAAAGTAAGTCCTGTCTTCAGCAATAGAATCTTATCTTCAAGTTCTGGGAGGCAATCGAGGGCTCTGGCAATAGCCTGTGTAATTTTGGGAGTCTCTTGGGCTACCCTCACCAACAACTCTAGTTTATCTTTTCAAAGAACCAGTTCTTAGATTCATTGATTTTTTGTATTGTTTTCTTTGTTTCTCTTTCATTAATTTATGCTCTGATATTTTTATTTCTTCTTATCTGTTGGGATTGAGTTTCATTTATTCTTGCCTTTCTAGAGTCTTGAGTTGAACTACTAAGTCATTTGTTTGTGCTCTTTCTGATGTTCTAGTGTAGACACTTAGATTTATAAGCTTCCCTCTTGGGACATCCTTTAAAGTGTCCCGGATGTTTTGCTGTATTTTATAATCATTTTAGTTTAATTTCAGGAATACTTTTATTTCTTTATTAATTTCTTCTTTGATCCATTCATCATTAAGGAGTTTGTTGGAATATTCATGAGTTTATATCTAGTTAGTAGAATGTCTTGTTGTTTATTTTAAGCCCTATTATGTTGTGACCCAATAGAATGTATGGAATTATTTCAAATGTTTTGTATTTGTTGAAGTTTGTTTTGTGGCCCAATATGTGTTTAATTTTAGAGAAATTTTCATGGGCTGCTGAATAGAAAGTCTATTCTTTGGTGCTTGGTTGGAATATTTGGTATATGTCTGTTAGATCCATTTGATGTATGGTAGATTAAATTCATATGTCTCTCTTTATTTTTTGCCTATTGAACCTGTCTATTGGACATAGTGGAGTATTATTGAAATCTCCCAATATTACTGAGTTGGTGTTAATATGTTTCTTAAAGTTCTATAGTACTGTTTTTATGAAATTGGGTGCACCAGAGTTTGGTGTGTATATGTTCTGGTGGTAGTGATTGGGTATGAAAAGCTGGTCTGTCTAGGCTTCAGGTTCTCTCTTTTGATTTTATATTGGGGGGACCAGATGGCTCCAGTCAGGTTAGCAGGAAAGCTCTAGGAAAACAAAGCAGGTCTGGCTTAGAGCCATTCAGTAGTATCAGAAGGATAGTGCAAAAGTCCAAGGAGAGGAGATGGGGAAAGAATGTGCTGATCCCTTCTAATCAGCAGGGAGGCTTAAGAGCTGGAGCAGTGGTAAGGACTGTTGATGGTCCCAAAGCAGGGGGATAGGCGTGGCTAGTGCAAATTGTCCAACTCACCCCAAAAGTCAAGTACTGTGGTCTCAGTCTCAAAAGCTCTGAACAAGCTAGGAGAGGCTGTGGGGTGAGGCAGTCCATGCCCCTACTATCCAGTAGAAAAGCTTGGCCCTGGATCAGTGGGAGGGGCTGCAGATGGTACCAAAGTAGGGGGATGGGTGTAGCATGATTTAGCAAGCTCAACTCAAGGCCAAGTCGGGCACTCAGTCAGTCTTAAAAGGTGTTCACAGGCAAGGAGAAGTTATGGGAGAAGGACGTCCAGGCCCCAACTCTCTTTTATTTCTTTACATTCTTTACTGTGCACTTTTCTTTCCTAATTTTGTTTGTTATGATAATTCAAATAAGGAGAAATGGAAATTAAAGGAACAAGACTAAAGAAGTGAGAAAATAAGTATTTCTGGTGGCAAACCTGCCCCTGAGAATCTTTTCTAAGGGCAACCAATGCTCCAATAACCATGATCAGCTGCAGTCCTAAAGCACTAAGTGTGAATTTTCAAAACTTAATAATACCTGCTTAAGTAATGTTATTTTAGTGTATTATTTTAATAATTTTATATCTTATTTATTGTATTATTATAGTTGATCTCTTATTGAACTTAATTTTTGAATCATACTTCATCATATAGCACTTATACAGTAATCGGGTAATATAAGTATAATAAGAAATATTATGGTATATCTGGGGTTCAGTACTTTCTGATATTTCAGGCACACAGTGAGGTTTTACAGTGTATCTCTTAACAGTGGGAGACTACTGTACTTGCATTTTGCTATGATACTGAGTGAGTTTTAAAAATAAATTTTTTATGTATATGAGTGTTTTGTCTGCATGTATGTAGGTACACTCACGTTGTGCAATGCCTGCAAGGGTCAGAAGAGGGCATCGGATCCCCTGGAACTGGAGTGAAATCATTCATGTATCTCTCCAACTTTCAGGTTATGATCAGTGCCTTTAAAAATCCAGGTCTAAGTGACATAGCTTTGGATGACATAAGCCTAACACATGGAATTTGCAGTGAGAGTCTTTATCCAGAACCAACCTTGGTTCCAACTCCTCCACCAGAGCTTCCTAGTAAGTAAACTCAATGAATGTCTTCTGTAAGTCATGAACGTATCTTATTTTTTATCTCTAAGATTAGATTAGTGTCTGTCATTGTGATATTTCACAACATTCTTATCTTTGTGGCACCTGCCTTTGCTGTCTTTGCCCCCTTTGCTGTCTTCCCTCAGATCATTTATCTTATTTCAAGTCCCATGCAGCCTCCTCCCTACTGCTGTCCTTCCTCTCATCTAACATTAGTTTTTCTTTGTTTCCTTTCTCAATTTTTAGACTTTACACATACACCTACTTACATATATACATTACAGCCTATAGAAAAGTAAAAGTAAATTTAATAGAGGCCTTAAATAAAATAGAAGCCACTCTCAAGAATGGACTTCCTATCTCCCTTGGTGGCCAGCTACAGTCTTGACTCCACACCTGGTCATTGGGCACCCAGGCCTTGACAGTGAACCTTTCCCACTCCCAGGTCTTAAGTTTTCAATCACTTTTCTGTTGCTCTCTACAACCCCAGTCTACATTCGCTTATGTCCTACAGGAAATGTAAATCACATAATTGAACTTCTAGTGGTAAAAATCCCAGTCTGGGAAGTTAATTTTTTTTAATTTGACATACAAAAGAAATCAATGACATAAAGACTGAATATGATCAATACCAATCCCCAGGCAGAGCTCCTGAAGAAAAAAAAAATGTAAAGGATGAAAATGACCCATGAATCACTATTCTCCATGTACTAAACAGGGCCATGAGTTTATGACCTGGTTCCCCAACTCTGGACAACTTCCTGTTCTAAAAGTCTTTTCTCTCTTAGTAAACTGTCTCTGCTTCAACCATTAAAACAGAGAAAAGAAAAAAATAAATGGAATGAACAGCTTCATGTAAGCTCAAGTCATACAAAAATCCCAGCGTAGATGTGGTGAAGTAGGTAAGAAACTCCAAACCTATATAAGGAACTATGGTAACTGATGACTGATGGGAAGGAGAGATTCAGTGTTGTTTAAGGGTGAGACTCTTAATAGTTAAACCAAGATCCAGTGGATAAATCCACACTGAAGGGAATTTGGGGTGTCACAAAGCTGACTCTCTCTCTCTCTCTCTCTCTCTCTCTCTCTCTCTCTCTCTCTCTATATAGTATGTATATGTATGCATATATATGTGTGTATATATATGTATGTATATATGTTTGTGTGTCTAAATATATATTATATATGAAGATATATATGAGTACAGAAATTTTGTGGGAAGTCAGTAAGAGGGGTACAAATATGGGAGGGGATCTAAATATTATAAAAATGATATATTGTATGAGATTTGTACAAATTCACTAAATTTAGTTAAAACAATAAACAGAGGCTGATAAAATGTTTCAGTGGATAAAGTCCTTTGCCACCCTGCTTGATGACTTGATTTTGGTCCCTGAATCCACATAGTAAGGAGAAAACTGGCTCTAAGAAGCTGTCCTCTGGGGGCTGGTGAGATGGTTCAGAGATTGGGAGAGCTGACTGCTCTTGCAGAGGACCCGGGTTTGATTCCCAGCACCCATATGGTGGCTAACCATCTGTAACTCCAGTTCCAGGAGAATGCAATGCCTTCTTCTGACCTCTGTGGGCGTTGCATGACACGGGTGCACTTACACACATGCAGGCATAACACATAAAATAAAAATTTTTTTAAAGTTGTCCTTCTCACCCTGACCTCCATTATACTCACAGTGTCATAACCCTAGCACCCACAAAGGAAAAGAATTTTACTGAACTTTTGTGCATCTCATACATAACATCTTAGTCATCTTTATGGCCCCTTCCCCTTTGGCACCCTCCCATGACCCCTCCCCCACTGGATTTAGTGCATTCTGTCATTTACGTTAAGGCCTATCAAATCAAGTTAGTGTCCTTTGACATCCTTCAGGGCATGTTCACCCACTGGATCTAGTCAGCCTATCTGGAGTAACTTCTTTAAAGAAGATCACTTCTTCCTCACCCAGCAGTAATCAGCTCCCTTAGGTCTCCATCTAAGATTGGGGCATGCTGCTCATTTCCACAGTTCTATGCTGGATTTTTGTTCGCATGTGTTTACATAGATCTTGTGCATACTGTCACCATTGCTGTTAAGCTCATATGCACAAGTTCCCAGGAGTCTGTAAGATTCTATATCCATGTGGTCATGCACCTCTTCCCTGGCTACAATCTTTCTGTGTCTTCTTCTGCAAAGGTTCCTGAGCACTGGGTGGGTGAAGTTTGAGAGTCCTGTTCAAGGACCCACACTCTGCAGACTCATATGCTCTACAGTGACCATTTGTGGTCTTTTGTGTTCATTGCCCTCTATTCCATGAGGGAGCGTCATTGATGAGAGTTGAAAGATGCATTCGTATTTTCTCTGCCCCTTGTTCCACTAGGTTCCATAAGCCTTAAGTGTAGAAGTTCCATTGTTGATGTGTCACTTATGATTGGGCATTTCACAGATACTAAATCTCTGTGTATGACCAGTTGTGGGACTTTGTAAAAGTCTCTTGTCTGTTGCAAAAGAAGCTTCTTTGATTCATGGTGGCTAGCACACTTGTCTGTAAATATAAGGATTCATATTTAGCACGTACTAAGAAAATACATTTATTTAGGGATGTGACAGTCTTGGAGATTTCTCTAAGATCTATGACCTCTCCAGCCATGTGTATTTGACTATTTTTAGTTTTCCACTCGGGTTCCCTTCTAAAAGGGGGACTCCAACGGAGTGGACTTTAAGTTCAATTAGGTAGATGTTGATGATCCCCAAATAAAGGTGCCATTGCTGCCCTAATATAATTTGCTGTGCCAGTCGTTATTGTGGTTATTAAGCCTTAAAACTGGGATTGGACCACTGATTGACGTCCTCCCTTAGCAGCTTGCATAGTGTGCTACAAAAATTTGTTTTGTTTTAGTTTTTGTTTAGTTATTCATTTTTTCAGCTATGTTGTTTTAATAGGTCAAATTTCCTGTAGATGTGTAAATAACTGGAGTTTAACAACTTGTAACAAGTGATATGCCATTAATCAAGGATATAATTATATGTTCAAAGTAGCTCCATGTCACAATGTTGAATGTATACCCCACAAAGACTGATTTATACTTCTTGTCTTGTATATCGACATGTTTAGATGTATGAAGTCTGCATTATTTCTAGCATTCATTTAAGTCATAAATGCTGCTATATGAATAACACTGTGAAAGAAATATGAGGTAATGATGATTCATGAAAATTTAACCTGATTTATACTATTTAAAACAATACAGGAGTAGATAATCTGTGAGAAAATTGATTAAGAATTGAAAATATTAGCAGAACAAAGTGTTAAGGAAACACTTAGATAAAAGGAATCACTGATGAAGCTGAAAGAAAACCTGAAAAAGATCCTGCAGTTGTGGTTTGTTTGTGATTAGTTCTGGGACAAGCCTAGGACTATGGGCATGCTAGACAGATGCAAAAGTGTGTATCTTGAATTTTAGGCTTAATTCAAATCGCCATTACTTCACCAGTGTCTGCTCTAATATCACATAATCAATAAATATTATTTAAACATGAACTAAACATTCTCTTTTCTCTTGCCTAGCATTTTGGTCATCTTCTTCTTTTGGTGACAAATACATTCTTGTGAAGCAAACTTTTGTCACTGGCACTAAAGCTTGGAGAAAATGCCAACATGAATTCAATAACTGGGCTTCATACCATTTAGAGATAGTGCTTTTACTTCATTTTGTGTGGGAGCCCTACCCTTCTAGTACATAATGAGTTTACCGCAAAATTACACATTCAAAATTCTTAGAATAAATACTGGTTTGATAAATATTTCTTATAAACAAAATATTTCTTATCAATATCTTGCTAATTTAGCATGACAATCATATAAAACAATAGTCTCCTATCATTTTATCCCTCTGTTAATGAATAAATGTTCAAATATTTTTCTGCTCAATAACCATAGCTTTAGATGCTTCATATTTAAAATATAGCAAAATCACATTAGTTAACATACAAAATTTGAAAAAGGATATATTACATATTATATATATACAAATAAATTTTAAACATGGTTTCCCATGTAAAAATCTATATGATTTATAACACTATCTTATCTATTCTAGCCCAAAAGTGAAAAATACACTATCTCAATATATAAAAGCCTGTTATCCTGCATAATTTAACATTAGGAAAATTATACTAGTAGAATAATACATCTGATTTTAAAATATAAACGCAGAACATGCCCAGAGTATATTTGTTCCACTTTACAATTGGTTCACTTTGAGGCAATCTTTAGCACAGCAGAAAATGTTAATTACTGCCTAATGTGTGCTGAACAATTTCATTCTAATGACATTTGCAGTTGGTTCAGTGGAAGTCTTATTTGTGCAGAGCTTTTCTGGTTCCAGATCACTGATTTGTTTAAGCAGAAATAAAGGAAGCCATAGTTGACTGCCTAAAACCCTTTTTCGCCCTTTAGAGAGCATTTAAATAAAAAGTAGTAATCTCAGACATACGAGTGAATGCTAACGCTCACTGCCCTTCCCCATTCCTGGGGTACGTGTTGTGTCTAGCTTTGTGGAAATGTAAGTTTATAGCTGCAGGGATCAGGAATTCTATTCTGTAACTTTTCACTGCTCCTCCATTTCCATGATCATGCCTGAGATACCAAGACATTTTAAGATTGGAACCATTCTGTTACTCAAACGTCATACTGCTTTGAAACACAATTTTGATAATTTGGGACAAAGTAAAGTAGCAAAAAAATAAATAAATAAAATCTACATTTCATGCCCCTGACTGTTTTCTGGGTTCTTAAAACTGATTAAGATAAAAGTAAGCATATCCGTTTTAATGTTCCCTAGTCTATTTTGTCATGATATAAGCCATTTTTCACTTCTTAATAAACAATGAGGTAATTTGGAAAAATGAATGACATTGCATCTTAGTAAGAGCTAAGCAACTTGACTAGAGTTCTCCATGGAAATGGGTCTGCACTCCTTCCCTCGGTGGCCTCTCCAGCAGCTCACTGTTCTCTGACATTTGTCTTACTTAGTAATTCTAGCAATCACCATACTGAATGCATTTCTAGAATCCTTTCTTAATGAGTTATTGCCTGCTCTACCCTTTACAAAATTAGCTTAATTATAGATATTATTGGCTAAATATCTATTAATACAAATGAAATTTGATCATTATGAATAAAAATTTAAACTTAGTTGCAACAAATTTAATAAAACTATTTACATCATGAATACTTACAATAATGTATTAGTAGAAATATAAATTTTGATAAACTGAACCCAAACTTTTCATCAGAGATTTCTTTTTAGATTACAGTCTAAATCTTTAAAATATTCAATATAATATTAAATGATTTGTTATATATTACTATAATAATAGACAGCAAATTGTTGAATTTGAAAACTACTGGAACATAATAATATATGTGACTCATTACTCAAATTACATCTATTATTTCCCTCATGAAAGTGCCAATAAAATCCTACTATTGACTGATAATGAATTTATTTTTATTTTACTTTAATTTTTATTGAATTTTTCAATTTTAATAAAATATATTTAGAGTCTCTCCCCTAAATTCATCTCCCTTTACCACCCCCTGCCCAATTTAATGCACTCTGTTATATGTCTAATAAGGCCAGGAGAGTCTAATTTGTGTCTCCAAATGTCCTTCAGTGTGGGTTCATCCATTGGAGCCTGTTTCACTTACTAAGACTCACATACTTGAATAAAACTTGCTCTCCCTGTCTCTGTAGCCAATAGTTTATTAGGTATGGTTTGGTTTTCTTACCACTTCTGAGCATATATTGCTGGAATTTTGTCTGGTTCGAGCTCAAATGGTACTTGTGTGTGTGTGTTGTCACAATTGCTGAGTTCATTTGAGTAATGAACAGCTGACTGGAAAATTCTGTTTCCTTGTGGTCATCCACCACCTCTGGCTATTACAATATTTTTGCCCCCCCCCTTCTAAAAAGTCTTCAGTTATGCAAAGATGTAGTGTTTTCTCAAAATATCCAATATTATTAGAATTATATGATTTTGGAATTTTCTTATTTCTTAAAAAAATGGGAATAATAATAGTGTATACACAAATACACACTCACTCACAAACACAGATGTACAAACACTAACATACCTATAAAGGTATGCAAGTACAACTACATACACACATATACATAAACATGAGCATACATACACACATACATTCACAAAAAATGGATGCACATGAGCACACACATATGAACATAAATATATGCTTAAATTCAGACACATGAATACATACAGCCATGCACACATGTCTACATCTGCACATACATGCATATAGTCACATACATACCTTCATATACATAAACACAGGTGTTCACACATACACATCCATAAAAACTTATATATCTACATGAATATGTATTCACAGATACATATATACACATACACACATACTCAAGTATGTGCACATACAGACACTTGCATACATATAATACAGACAAGCACACATTTATACAGAGACACATAACATGCACACACATGTGCTTCAAAATACAAGCTCACATAAGCATACTCATACAAACCTAAACTCATATACACATATTCATATATGCACATGAATACATACCCACATACACATGCAGTCTCACAAATTCATGGGCATAAAACACACACAGGCACACATATATGCATATACACAATCGCATCTGCATATGTTCACACATGTAAACATACATGCAAACACATATACAGCATGCATCTGATCACACACAAGCACACTCTCATCCACATGTATATCTATGTAACCAAACACAGATACCCATACACAAACACATGCACATATACGCAAAAACATTGAGGATTGATAGAAGCTTTAAAGGCAGTTGATAATTTTTAAAATTAAATGAGTCATGTGTGAGTTTTAGGAGTGTAACATCATTCTTTAGCAGTGTTTGAAAAATTATTAGTCACATAATCAATGGGTTGACCAGATCACTGCCCTACTTCCTCATTGTTCTTCATTCTTTGCTTCAAATACCTCCCTGTTTACAATACTTTTTCATTTTGAATTGATCTCTCATTGACTGTAATTAATGCTTTCCTCCAGAAGTTCTTCTGTTATCTGTTTCCATCATATACCTACTCAGTGCTTCTTATTAAGATGGTCTTCCAGGCACAGTCATGTGCTAGTTTATGGGCCACACACACATTTCAGGATGGCTATGAATGTAGCACATTTCTAGATACCATGTAGCAATGTCAAAGGGTTTCATGCTCACTCTAAACCCTGTTTGTGGTTTGGATCAGATGGTAGCAATGATCTGATTTAATCAATTCAAATACTGACAGTAAAGTATGATAGCAGGAGCTTGAGCCTATGTTGAAGTCTTGACTTTGATACCTGGTGAATGTGCATGTCATTAACAAATAACCAAAGAACTACCAATTTCATTTACGTTGAAATAATAGTAGTTGCATAATCAAAAATGGTCCTCTGAAAATCAGAACAAAGCTTTTTTTGATTTTTATAAGCTTATTATAATATGGACAAGCCTCTCTTAAGAAGACAAATGAACAAGTCTTACCACTTTGCACCACTGTACAATTTGGCAATAATACTACAAGTGAATCAGAATAGTAGCCTCTAACATACTATGCACATCAATAAATCCAAGTTTAAGAATATTGTTACATCATAATCATTAGATGATCACATGAAGGCAACACCACTGCTATAGGTAAAGTACACTTAAATATCCTTCCTAAAACCTGCCTTCTAGATTTTGGGAAGCAAATAATTCCAGTTTTATCTGCTTTTACTAAAAAGATAATAATCATATAGTATTCAAATTACATTAATTTTGTCATCATTTTTAAATATAACACAAGTTATCAATTAAAGCTGAGCTACCTAATGTAGTTGGTAAAGTTTTATATACTTTAGAATAGTTTCTAATGAGAAAATAATATTAGGATGTTAACATGCCTATAATCTAAACTATAAGATCTATGTTCCAATTTTCTAATAAATTTGAATTAAGATCTGGAAATCTCAAATTGACTCTTTGAAAATGTTGAGCACCAGATCTATCCAGAGAAAGTTTTTTATTGCTGGTTGTCTGTTTGTTTGTTTCGTTTTTTTAGACCAGCTCTCAGGTAATACAGTCTGGCAGGGATCTTGCTATGTCTCTGAGGCTGGCATTGAACTCCTAATCCTTATTCCTCCCTGTCTCAAAGGCTGAGATGACAAGCAGGAACCAACACAGAAGAATTATTAAATGAGTGGAGGGAGTTTCAGTTAGTCTCCCTTTATTGACTCAAACACTCATTACCCAAGAGGGCCTCTTCTCAGTAATTCAAAAGTAAAAGGAAACTGTAAAAAGCCAAAAAGTATGATTGGTAGATTAATGACTTACTGAACCTTCTTAAAGAGAAGAGGCAGATACAGGCTGTTTTCTAATAGCAATATTTATGTTTTTCTCCATTAAAGATTCCATCTCTCCTTCACTGAAACCTCTTTATAAAAGATGTATGGCAGAAAGCTGTCACTTCTTCAAATCAATTTGGGCAGTTCTTGAAGATTCATAAAGGCAAAGGTTGGAGAGATGACTCAGAGGTTGAGAACACTGGCTGCCCTTCAGAGGATCTGGGTTCAGTTCCAAGTACCCACATGGCTCCCAACAACTATCTGTAACTCCAGTTCCAGGGCTAACAACAGTCTCTTCACTCTAGTTCCAGGGAATCTGAGACCATCTTCTGACCTCAGTAGGCATTGCACAACATGAGTGCGCTTATCCTCCTGCACATAAAAAAATAAAATATTAAATAAAAAATATATGTATAAAGGCAATAAGGATAGGAAGATTTTCAGGACTGCTCTAATAAAAACAATGATTTGTTTATGTTTTCCTAATGTAAGGTAGAAAATTATCTTTTACATAACTCAGAATGAATCTGTCAAAACCAGTGTTCCAGGAAATGTATTTGTATAATGGGGGGCATCTAATGGGATCTCTCTGAAATAAGTATGATGTTACTAATGCCATTTTACTGCTTCCTTTCAGCCAACTGTGGAGGACCTTTTGAATTGTGGGAGTCAAATACAACATTCAGTTCTCCGAATTTTCCAGACATCTACCCTAATCAGGCTTTTTGTGAGTCTTAACTTTCCCAAACTATCAGAAAAAAAAAAAAATGTGCTTAACAAGGTTAGGTCTCCCTGAACACAACAAAACAGCTTATGAATTTGCCAAAATGAACATAATAGCATGTCTACATATAAATTCTTTTTAAATTATTTATTTTTATTTAATGTGTATGAGTACTTTGCCTCTATGTATCTAAGTGCACCACATGTATGCAATGCCCACTGAGATCAGAAGAGGGTGTTGGATTCCCTGGAATTGGAGCTACAGATGGCTATTAGCTGCCATGTGAGTGCTGGGAACTGAACCCTGATACTCTGCAAGACCAACCAGTGCTGTTAACCCCTGAGTCATCTCTCCAGCCCCTGATAGTCTTAATATAATCACAAGAATCAAAACTATTGCTAGCTTTTTTTAAATCAAAAGCAATGAAAAGATATTTAATATGTTTTCAAAAAACTTTCATGATTATTCTTTAAAGCATTTCTTACTACTAGAATTTATTTATTTATTTATTTATTTATTTATTTATTTATTTATTTATTTTGGTCTTCTTTGAGACAGGGTCTCCCTGTAGCCCCAGCTGTCCTGGAACTCACTACGTAGACCAGGATGGCCTTGAATTCACAGAGATCCTCTTGAGAAACAGCTGCAAAGAGATTGCATCATCTGCATTAAAGACACAGATTTCCCAGTCTGTCCTACAAAGATTCTATTTCATTAGATGTGAACTGGAAAACAGACATGATCTTCCCATGACAATGCCTGGTGAAGGCTCAAATAGAGAATTCCTCCAGTGAGATAAATTCTCCAATGGCAGTCAAAATTGGATTAGAACATGCTATCCTTTTTCTGCAGTGATCAAGAGCTAGGTAATAGTTTCAAGGCAAACAGAGCCATTATTATAAGACTACAGCTGATCCAAATAAATAAACAGCCATTAATCCCTTCTGACTTTAATAGGGAAAGAATAGGCAAAGATTATTCACCCAACTTTATTCTGAAGACAGTTTTTAAAGCTATCTTTTGAACAAATACTATTTTTAAATTCAAAATCAGTAGAAAATTGAAACAATTTGTAGAAATTTGTTTATTTCTCCAAATATGTGCTAAGCTTTTTACTTATCAGACACTGAAATAAGTGAATATACATCATAGCATGGATGCAAATTCAGATAATATATCAGGCATAATAAAATTTTTAAAATACTTTTAATGTGGCCAGGTATGGTGGCTCATGACTTTAGTCCCAGCACTGGAGATATAGAGGCAAGTAGATCTCTATGAGATCAAGGCCATACAGGTCTACATAGTGACTTTCGGGCCAGCTGGACCTATGTGGAGACCCTGTCTCAAAAAAATAGTAACCAAAAAAACCCTATTAAAGTAAGAGTACAGATATTATTAAATAAGGGCAATGATAAAATAAAGGCATTGGGCAGGGACATGGGAGCGTCTATAATATACAAATCAAGGAAAATTCATTAACAGGAGCAGGTTAAATTGGAAATATGAAGGGATTTTGATGCATGTTATGAATCTAAAATTATATGTAAAATGAAAGGATACATTTCTAGCAATTTTTCTGAAAAATAATGATAAAACCAAGCTTGCATTTCATGTGGATCCATCTGGCTATAGTATCAATTATCGACGTTCAGGAGAGAGATCCATCAGCATCAGCAGTTAGAAATTATGAAACTGCAGAGCCTTGCACTCTAACATTACAATAAGTGTTGAGAATTAAATGGGATTGAAGGGCTGTAGGAGACAGGATTAGAGGCTTTGGAAATTGAGTAGATATCATAAGATCAAGGAGCATGCCCAAATTTCTGCTGTGAGCAGTTGTGACTCTCTGACTGTGATTTGTAATCCTCGAGAGAGAAGACACATGAGTTTTCCAGTGAGATATTTCCATGTGTCATTTAGAACCTGTGGGATTAAGATAGCCGTATCTATATATACTAAATACTTTTATGTGTTTACTTATGAAAAAAATGCAGAGAGTAAAATCTTAGAGGTCAGCACTCTACAGATAAAGTTTTACTCCTTAAACTTGTATGAGAACAACAAACTGAAGAAGGAAGCAGTATAGAAGAGAAAGTGAAGATTAAGTCATTTTAGAAATTAATAAAAAACAAGGAATATTTATTGATGGTGACATTTTTCAAAATGAATTATCAGCATGCAACACATTTAAATAAATGGAAAAATTCAGATAAATATTAAACTTTGCTTGTTTTACATATTCATTTGTATCATCTTACAAAGTTTATAACATAAAATTAGTTGAACTGGGGTCAAAAAGAAAGCACATAAGGCAAAAATGTGTGCTATCTAGACTGACAACCTGAGTTTGATTCCTAGAAACCACATGGTAGAAAGAAAGAACTCCTTCAGAAAGTTGTTTTCTGACTTCTACACATGTACAGTAGAATGCACACTCCCAGTCCCCTCACAAACACACGCAATAAATAAATGTAAAAACTTTAAAAAAGAAAAATACATGGATCGAACTATAATATTAGTATCTATTGACATTCATAAACATTGTGTTGTTAGAATAAATAGTTTCTTACATAATTTGATAAGTATTTTATTTTACACAACATCAATTCAAATATGATCTATTGTAACAAATTTAATTGAATCTTACTGTACACATTTCTGACCAAACCAATGTATTACCTTTTCTAATCAAAAAGCAAAAATAAAACAATGAAAAACGAGGCAATGAAGACTTAAAAGAAGCCCAAAGAGTATATTGTAAATTAATTGCTGATATTTATTACTTTAAAGGTGTCTGGAATTTAAATGCAGAAAAGGGAAAAAATATACAACTCCATTTTCAGGAATTTGAGTTACAAGATATTTATGATGTGATTGAAGTCAGAGACGGTGTGGATGATGATTCCTTGCTCTTAGGTAAGTCTGAAATTTGAATACTCTAAAAGCTGTAGAGATCATGATACTTGATTCATGGAAAGAACATTTCTCCACAGAAAAAATAATTTTACAACTGGCTACATAAAATTAAAATGATGGGATAATGTTGAGTTTAATTATGGAACAATTTTGCAGTGGTGAAAAAAATATTTCTCTTGAACAGATTGCAAGCTAAGATTGATACTTTTTCACCTCAGGTCTCAAAAGCTAGTAGCAATTAACTATAAAAATACATAGACTATGTACACCAATAGCTGAAAGAAAACCTATTAATGTGGTTTGCTATGAATTTTGTATACCTCAAGTATTCAAAGATAAATATTAAAACCAGATTTCATTCACCATAAGACATCCAAATATATATTTGTTATGGAAAATTTTATTTTTATTTTATATATCATCATAATTTATTTGTTATTATCCTGAGTATTAACTGCTTGTCTCTAGTTATCTGTGAGTGTTTCTAAAGTTGACCAACATATACTTTTCTCTGTTGCTGTTGATTATTATTTTTAAGTATATATGAGGAGCATATATGCTTCTACAGGAAATATTTGTGTCTGGATTATAAAGTACATTTTAAAAAATGTTTATATGTATGAGTGTATTGCTTACATGTAAGTAGGTGCACCTGTATTGTGCAGTGCCTGAAGGGGTCAGAAGGCATGGGATTCCCTGGAACTGGAATTACAGATGGCTGTTAGTTGCCATGTGGGTGCTGGAAATAGAACCAGGGTCCTTTACAAGAACAGTTAGTGTTCTTAACCGCCGAGCCATCTCTCCAGCCCCTATAAAGTATATATTGACATATTCAAAAGTTATTAGTCAAATTTAATATTGTACCATTAAACCATTAATTTAAAAAATCTTTTTTAAGTAAGGTACATATCAAATGATAAAAATGCTTAAAATTCCACAGGAATGTATGAAACAACATTCTTTACCACAGCAAGTATTTTATCTAGCTGTTCTTGGGACTCATGTTCACTGCTTATTACAAAATCTGACGTAAAATTCTTGAAATCAGGACAGAATCGAATGAAAACATGACCAATGAATGAAGCCTAGGATGAAATTCTAACTCCTGAAGGACCAGGGTCACAGAGATGATTCTCTAAGCATATCAGCAAAGTCCCACAAAGTTCTGGAACTTTCTTCCTGGATTTTCAGCCAAACACAATAAATCAACAGTGAAATCCTTGGTGGAGCTCCAATACGAGGAAGGAATAAGGAAATATTAATGTGGATCTCTATACACATATAAACATTTTTCATTATCAGTTTACATAGTCTTTCTAATAACACTGTCTTCATGATCAAGAGAAATAGCATTTCATCATAAATCATTGAAAAATAAGAATTCCAGAAGGATCTCAGAATTACAGTGTTGTTTATAGATAAAAATTTCTTTGGTTCTGAATTGTATTTTTCTGCTTCCAATAGGTAAAGCAATTAAAAAGAAGAATGTGCTTTTTAATTAGCTGAAGTATTGTTTAGTAAACTGTTCATACAGTCTACAAAAGCCCATGGTCTAATGAGACATCTTGAAAAATCACCATTTAAGTTTATATTAACTGCGAATAATTCATCTTTCAGATTCAGTTTGCAAATGAATATAAATATATTTAGACAAAAATTTAGGGAGCAACATTAATATCCATAATTCTATAAAGATCTTTTAAAGAAAACAAAGACTCATTCCTCATGAACTTTAAACAGTAGTGATGATAAGCCAAATAATATTATAATTATCTCATTAGTTCAAAGTTTCAGCTCCCCAAGTAATATTAAAAAGATCAGTAGAGGAGTCGGGGTAGAGCTTGGTGGTAGAGTGCTTTCCTGTAGAGCACCAGACTTTAGGTTCAATTCTCAACACAGGAGTTGGGAGGTGATCACTAGAATCTCTTTGAGTATGGTAGAGCAACTGGAATCCCAGCACTGGGCAGGCAGAGTCCAAAGGATTCTGAGTTTGAGACCAACTTGGGCTATGTAACAAGTTCCAGGCCAACTTAGGCTACCTCCTAGTGAGAGGCTATCTCAAAAAGCAATCATAAGCAAACAAAAACATCAGTACAGAGATTGCTTCAGAGATTTAGAATTTAAAATATAAGAAAGCATGGACATTTACTTAGTTGTAGTTGCTTCATGGAGTGATGATGCATGTAGTCCTATCTCTAGATGATGAAGTTCAAATACAGGGTGGAACTTCTAGTTCAGTCACCTTACAGTCTCCTTTTCTTGGAAGCAGCTGTGTACACAGGGTTTGGCCCAGTGAAGGACATATTCTCTTCCACCAATAGAATGACTGTGCTTTTCATCACCGATGACACTTTTGCATTGGGGGGATTTAAAGCAAACTTCACTACTGGATATCACTTGGGGATTCCAGGTAAGAAAAATTATACATTTTGTCATAACTATGGAAGCAAAACAAGAAAAATAAAAATTTACAGGTTTCAAAGCCAAAATGAGTTTACATTCTGAGATATTTTTTTCTTCCTCAACTTCAATTTTTCTTTTTCCTCTTGTGCCAATGTAATTGTTATGTGAGGTTTTTTTGTTTTTGTTTTTGGGTTTTTTTTTTTTTGGATATAAACTTATACTTCTCTTGTTAGATCCTCACCTTTTGCTCAACCAGGTTAAAAGTTAGTTTAATGTTAAAAGTGTAGTAAGTGACACTGTAAGGAAGGACTGTGCCTCATACCAAGATCATGTTCAGGACACAGCAGGGAGACTAACAAGGGAGCTGCTGGAATGCCAGCATCCAATTAAAAACGTAACATCATTAACTTATTAGAGATGGCAATATCAGTAAGCTTCAATATTGTAGTTTAATGATAATTGTTGATGGCCTGCACAAACTTCTTGCCTTTTTGCTTTATTATAGTTATAAATCAAGCAACAATAAAAACAAAATATTTTATCACAAAGGCACTTTTAGATAGAGATATATTGTAAATACATGTATTCACATTCAGTGCATTTTCCCGATGCAAAAATGTCATCTCTTGCTCCGTAGTAGACCGCAGTCTGCCTTTCGCTTGCATATCTAGACACAGGAACATTTAGAAGAGTGAATCTCTTCTGTTCTATTGTCTTCGGCTAAATCCTGTTGTGTGATTTAATTAAGTTTATATCTGTTCCTCTTTGTTCACAGCTAGCCTAAAACCTTGACCCTGTTGTCTAATTCCAGCTTCATGGTCATCCTCTATCCCTGAAAATTGGCCACAACATTGATGATGAAAGTTACTTAAGAAGTACATAAAAACCAATTAGTTAATCTCCCTTTCTGGATCTTGTGCTTGGTTTCAGAAGCAGCTGCTTTTGACATACAAATAACCATGACATGAATCAAACAAAATAAGCAATTAGTGGGATAAACAAAAAATAGAGTATAAAAGAAAAGGAAGGCTGGAGTGGTGGCACATGCCTGTAATCACAGTACTTTGTAGGTGAAAGTTGGGAGATCAGGCGTTCATCTTTCTCTTACCTTTCTCTTATACTGCACAATGAGTTCTAGATGAGCCTAGGCTGCATGAGACCCTGTCTCATAAAGAAAAGGGGGTTGGGGGAATAAGTCTAAGGTCCATGTGCTGGATAGCTTTAGTGTCAACTTGACACACCTGGGTTGAGGGAACCTCAATTGGAATTGCCTCCATTGGACTGGACTGTGGCCATGTCTGTGGGGCATTTTCTTGATTGTTTATTGATGTGGGAGGGCCCATCCCACTGTCGGTGGTGCTACCCCTGGGCAGGTGGGCCTGTGTTGGATAAGAGAGCAAGCTGAGCAGGAGCCAGGGAAGCAAGCCAGTAAGCAGCGTTCCTCTATGGCCTGTGCTCCAGCTCTTGCATCCAGGTTCCTGCCCTGAGTCCCTATCTTGGGCTCACTGATGAACTGCAACCTGGGAGATGTAAGCTGAATAAACCCTTTCCTCCCCAAGTTGATATTGGTCAGATTATTTGGTCACAGCAATGAAGAAACAAACTAAGACAGTCTATAAGAAATCAGAATTGATGTTGATCTGAAAAGAGATATAGAAAGCGAAAATAGAGTGCAAGTAAAAGGAGAAAATAATGGTTTTGTTATACATTCACTTGAAAATAATATACTTTCATTTCAATACAAGTGTGTGTGTATTATATATGTATATACATCAAAATTTAACCCAAAATACAACTGAATCACTGCTTTTGAAAATATTAATCAAGATAATTTTGAGCATGACATTTTGAATTTGATCAGCAGTCCTGCTCCTTGATAATTTTGTTACTACTGATTACAGTAAGATAACTATGTTCATCTGCCAATATTTATCTACTGCTTCTGGCATTTTTCTCTTTGCAAAGGATCCAATTCATTCATTGTAATTTAATTCAATGTTCTATTTGGCCTATGGTGATTATTTGGTTTTCTAATGTAATGTTTACTGGACAAAGGTGATGGACATAGATAAGGGAATGTTAGGAGCTGATGTTTAGTGCTTTTAAAATAAAACATACTTAGGATGTGTTCTTTTGGATAAAAATAATGTGTGCTTGCTGTTTTAAAGAAAATAAACTACGTAGTATAGAACAGTAGTTAACAGGAAACAATTACACATGGTTTCATCACTATTTTTATACCTAAAATTATTGATAATTTTTCATTGTTATATAATTTTCAACTTCTGATAGAATAGCCCTCACTGTGTACCTGTTTATTAAATGACACTAAGATGCAGTTCCTCCTCAAGATTTTTGAAGAAAGAAGACTTAACTTTGGTTAGAGGAGTTTCCTGTGAAATTCTAATATAACCAGCTTTTTCTTTTTGATGTAACTGAAAGTCTTTGTTAAAAATATGAAAGAGGGTTGGGGGGATGGAAAGATGGTTCAGTGGTTAAGAGCATGGCTGCTCTTGCAGAGCACCTGGGCTCAGTTTCCAGCACCCACATGGTGGTTAACAACCTTATGTAACTCCATTTTCAGGAGATCTAATGCCCTCTTATACCTCTAGGGGCATTGCATGACACAGATGCACTTACATACATGCAGGCAATACTCTCATACACACAAATAAAAATTATAAATAGAATAGTTTAAAAAAATAATAACATGGGGGCTGGAAAGATGGATTAGGGGTTAAGAGCACTGACTGCTCTTACAGAGGACCCGGGTTCAATTCCCAGTACCCACATGGCAGCTAACAACCATCTGTAACTCCTATTCCAGGGGCTCCAATGCCCTCTTCTGACCTCTGTGGGCATTGTACAACATGGGTGCATCTACCCACATTCAGCATTATACTTATACACATAAAATAAATGAATAAAATTTTAAAAATTAATATGAACCATCTGGGGAATTAGCTTAGTCTTTACTGTGCTTGTTTTGCAACCATGAGGACCTGAGTTAGATCTGAAGTACCCATGTGAAAAAGCCCTGCATGATGCAGCACAAATAAACTGAATGAGGACTCCTCAGTAATGATACCTGCACATGCACCCACACCTATGTACACATTCAACACACACACGAGAGAGGATATCAAGAACATGAATCATATCATTTTCTGGTAGAGTGTATGACTATCCATAATCCCCGATTCTAAAGTATTCATAGCTCCACAAAAATTTCTATAACGAAGAACACAAAAGTAATAAATGCATGAAAAATATGGCAATCTGAGAACTAATAATTGATGTTCAGATCAGCACACAAAATAAAATCCTTAAACAACAGAGATTCTGAAAGGAAAAGACTAGGTCAAAATACAGAGAGAAAAGCATAAGAGTGAAATAATGTATTTTCTGGTTCTGACTAAAACTGCCTGAAAAATCATGCTGTGTTACTGTGTTCTGTAAAATAAGGTGTAATAAATAAGTATCCAAATGATAGCTTTTTCTACTTAACATTTTAAATTTCCAAAGGAATATTTGTTTGCAAATTCCTAGGCAGAATATATATTTTTCAGAAACACTGCTGATTAGCTCAACTTTCGTGATGGACTCTCAATAATAGTGGTACCTTTAAGTTTTAAGGAGACACAGCTGCAATGAAAGATGAAGATGTCAATGTATTCTGTATTTTACTTCAGTCGTTACAGGCACAGCTTTGTGAACTAACGTAAAAGTGGAGCAAAATACTCTGTAATACCTACTAGTACATAATCTACTGGAGTGAAGGAACTCTTAAAATGAAGAATTTTGTCATGAAGTTTTCAGAAAAAAAATTCTATGGGCTGGAATGATGCCTCAGAGAGTAAAAGCACTGGCTGTTCTTGCAGAGGACCCGGTACAGTTTCCAACACCCAAATGGTAGTTAGCAACTATCCATAACTAAAGTTCACAGAGCACTGTCATACTTCTGGCCTCTGCAGGTAGTTACGTACATGCAGGCAATACACTCATACACGTAAAGTAAAAATAAATACATTTTAAAAATAATATTTTTAAAAGAATTGTCTGTTTTTAATTGAAATGAATAATAAAATCAACTGAATAACTTAGATTTTAAAGAGAATCTATGCTCTAACCAGTAGGCAAACATTTGTTAACAAAAAATAACTGAAATAATTATAGGAGGGTCTTTCATATATATAAATCTATATAAAAGAAAGTATCTTAGACTAGCATGGTGGTGCACACCTTTAATCCCAGCACCTAGAGGCAGAGGCAGGCAGATCTATGTGAAAGCAAGGCTAGCCTGGTCTATAGGCCACCTGGGGCCACAGAGAAAGCCTGTCTCAAAAAAATGAAAATACCTTGAAACAAAATTTTAGAAAAATAATTGGTCTTTAAGTTATGAATTTTTAATTGCAAATGAGAAAAAAATGAAATTAAAACTTTATAGACTAAGAAAATGAACAAACACATCTTTCCAATCAAAATTACTATATTTACTGGTTTTTGCTTTTTACTCTAAAATAAACATAGTATCAAGAATTTTATAAAAATAGCTCAAAGAATTTCTATTTGAGATAATACCTAAAATCATGTGATTTAATGCTGTCAACAAAAAAGACACAGCAGCTTTATGATGAAAGGATTCTTTGCATTGGTTTGCCCTAAACCAAGGTTTCAGGAAGGATTATTTGTTATTTATTAAAGGTCCTTTTTAAGAGAACAATCTTTTTGGTTAAAACTAGAAGACCCTTTCCATGAGCAGCACCACATAATAAATGGGCTGCATGTGTGAGCTCGCATTCCTGGATCTGGCACAGAGGCTGCTGGACAGGGGACTCTCAGTGATTGAGCTGTCCTCAGAATAGTCGTTTTATATCAAGAATTTTTACAGTGAAATTCTAGAAAGCAATTACAGAAGCAGTGTTGGAAATAGCAGGCCTTGGTGTTGTAAATTGTTTTCAGTATGTATGGGTTGTACTTATCTTCTAAGATATTCTAGGAACGTTT